ACCCATCACAGCCTGCGCCGGCTGGGAAGGCCCAGGCCCCGGCTCCGGGGTCGTCGCCTTCGGGCCAGAAGCACTCCCCCCAACACACCCCTCTGAGAGCGGAGAGAGGGTGGGGAACCCCCGAGCCGCCTTCGCTGAACCCGGAGCTACCCTCCTGGATACCTCGTTTCCTGCCCCCGGTCCTTCCCCCACTTCTCCCTGGGCCTCGACGCCCTCGGGCCGGATGGCTTCGGATGGAAACTTTACTTTCCACGCCGAGAAGCGTCCATTTCCTTAGAAGCAAAAAAGCGCGTAGTAGGGAGGTGTTGGAAGGGGGCCTCCTACCCTGATCTAGGTTTCCAGGGGGCTGCGGCCGCGACAGGGCCAGCGTCAGTGCCCCTCGGGCCCTCCCTGCCTCCCCCGGGGGCGCACACTGTCCTTCTCATCGCAGGTCTGCCACCAAGCCAAGGGCGCGACCCAAAGCGGGGCACAGCACGCACTCGCCACCCCCTATGGGACCCGCCACCCTGGGCCGGATCCAGAGTCCAGGGAGGAGGGTGGGAGCCATACTAACCGCCTGGGCTTCCCCCGCGCTGCCTCGGCCAGAGGCGCGGGCCTGGGCTCCAGCTGTCAGCCACCTGTTAGCCGGCCTGCTCCCCTCTCACCTGCGGCCGGGCCTCAGCGATCCCCGGCCCAGGGGGGAAGGTGAGCGACCCTGCTGGGCCCACGCACCCCTCCCCGTCGCCGCGCCCTCTCCTTTGTCTCACACGCGATTTTCTAAACCGCCTTATCTGCAGACTATATCTTTATACTAATGCATACTTAATTGGCCCGTCTTGACTGTCCATATAAAACAATTTAATTAGGGCGCTTTCTTGCCTTGCAGAGCGAAGAAAGGACGCTGCCCGGTGCTCATTGTCGTTAGCACCAATACAGGCAGAAAATGTAGCACAAGTTTTTGGTTGAAAGAGCACCTCTGTGCCCATTGAAGGGCGCTGATCCGAAAAGACAGAGAGGACAAGGAAAATCGATTTGAAGCGACCCTCTCTGTCCCTTTCACACCATTCAGAAACCCCATTCCTTCCAAGACAAAGACCAGCGCTTGGGAATTCTCAGGGGAAAGGGGGACTACAGTCCCACAAGCCTGGGGCACTTTTAAAAAATCCTGGATATTGCACTTAAAACCGCTCTCGGTGCGGTGCCCCCCAGTGCGGGGGTTTGGCAGGCACCCCCTTCTGAAGCGCCAGGCTGCATGGCTCACCAGCCCCTACTCCTCCTGCCTGGGCCTTTCCGGCCAGGCCAGCCTTTTAGGGTTAATGCAGCCCTCACCTTTGACCCCCACGATCGCAGTGGCTGCCAGAGGGTGTGGAGCTATCACTCAGGCCGAACTTAAAACAAAGCCCCCAAAATCTTTCTCGACTGCCAAACCCAGGGAGACCAGGTCTGGTCCCCGGGCCTGAGCCACCTTGCCCGGGAAGCCACCTCCGCCCTCAACTTTATTCTGTTCTGTTTGCAAAAAAACTGCCCTCGCGCCACCCGGAGAGCAGGGGACTGTCAGCGAGTTGTCCTCCATCAGGGACCTGAATGCCAGTTTATCCGCCAGGCGCCTGGGCCGGGAAGGCGGCCATCCATCAGACCTGGCCGAGAAGGGACGAGTGGGAGGGGGAGAGGGGAGGGGAGGGGAGGGGAGAGGCTGGGCTGTGATCACCTTCACCTGCCCCAGCCCAGCCCCCCTGTTCAACTATCCCTCGACCTTGTGCTGGGGTTAAAGGGGGCGGGGGCGACAAGGAGGGGGGCGCCCCCCATGACACAAGTGGCCTCCTTCTCTGAGAGAATGAGTTCACCACTTCCCCAAGGAACCTCCCCATCCATCCATCCACTCGGTAAACCGCAAGGCAAAACTTCTGTAGCCCATATTTATGGTATTAATGAATAGTTAAAAAAAGATTTACACTTCTTATGATCAATATTCGGAGTTATTTCCCTCAAAGTATATAATTACAGTGTCTTCGGGGTTTTCATCATTGTTTTTGAGGTGGCAAACCCATTTGTAATTTTCATTAGCCAGTAAACATGTAATTAACATTCAGCACTGTGTTTAACTTAATTCCTGTTTAAGACAAGGACAAGAAGCAGCCGAAAAGCCTGCGTTCCATTTGTCAAGTCTGACATACATCTTACCATACAGTTTCCTAAAATAAAAGATCCCGTGTTTCCCATTATTCTTCTCTTAAAACAAAACACAAAAATCCATTAGTTAAAACTGTATTAAACTGCAAGCCGCCGCGTAAGTTACTCTCGATTTCTCTAGCCACTGTGTTCCTGCTTCCTTTATTCATTCTGGGGAGGGTGGGGGCCTGGAGGGGGTGAATCAAGCATTCATTATCTGATGACAAGACATGGGGAACCCCTCCCCCCCCCAAAGGAACAGGTTTCCTCTTTAGGAAAGTTCTAGAATGGGGACTGGGAATGGGGGGTGGGGGCACGGATCTGCAGGGGAGAGGGGAAGTTCACTGGGGAGAACTCGAGTTCGAAGTAGGAAAACGAGGGTGCCTACACATTCCTAGGAAAAACATCGCCTTCCTCTTTCCAGCCCCATCTCTGACCCAGAAGCCTGCTGCCTTTCCCCCCTCCTCTCCCACCTCTCTTTCCTCCCAACTTGCAGGATTAGCCTCCATCCCTCCCGACCCCAAAACAGTGGAATCCGGCTGCGCCTCGCTCGCCCCTGCCTCGCAGCACATCGCCTGGAGTTGTGGGCGCCTCTCTGGGGCTGAGCAATCTAGTCTGCTCCCAGCCTCCGACTAAACTCATTAAGTTCGGAGATTTTTTTTTTTCTCCAATTGGACGGGTGTTTTGAAAGTCTCGTCTTTCCAGCCCCAAACAAGGTGTAACAACGCACTCTTCCTTCTAAGGAATGAGATGAGAGACAGGGATCACTCCAGACATCTCCTACCTACGGTTTGGGGTGGGTGCATGCAGCCCAACAACATCATGGGCATCGAGAACATTTGCGAACTGGCCGCCCGGATGCTCTTCAGCGCCGTCGAGTGGGCCCGGAACATCCCCTTCTTCCCCGACCTGCAGATCACCGACCAGGTGGCCCTGCTTCTTTTTTTTTTTTTTTTTTTTTTTTTTTTTTCTTAAAGGCGAGGCTCGCATTCCTCAGCGGCTATGTACCAGCTCCCTGAAACCTCCTCGCTCTAAAGTTGGCTCGCAGGGTTTCCCGAAGGCTCGGCGCGCCTGAGACCCGGGAAGGCACTTCCCCCCCAGGTGGCCGGGCGCTCCCGTCACCTCTCCTCCGCTTCCCGGCCGGCGAGCGCCGACTTTTTATCAGTTTGCACAATCGCTTAGATAAACACCGAGGAAGAGAGAGAGAGTCTCTTTAATTATCCAAGACACATCATTTCAGGGGTCCAACAAAGCGCGTATTGCACCCGCCAAACTAAAGGACAGTTCTTCCAGTTTTAGGAGGAAGATGCAAGCGATTTGGGATCTTGAACAAGGCAAATATGGTTTTGGTATGTTTGCTTACAGTATTTTTTTCCCCTCTCTCTCTCTTTTTTTTCCTCTCTCTCTCCCTCTTTCTCTCTGTTTTCTCACTTTTCTCCTGGTGCCGTGTGGGGTTGGGGATGACTTGGGGATTTTTTCAAAAAATCGTATTGCTAACGTGTATGCAATGCCTCGGGTTGTGGTTTAAGGGGTTTGGGGAAGGGGGGGGGGACGGGCCATTCAATGCGTTGCCATATTTTATTACATGTGTGTGGTGGAGGGGGGCGAGGGGGAAAATACGATTGCGAAGGTGCCAAAATATGATTAAACCGAAGGGGACAGACAGACCGCCGTGCCGCCCCTCGCCTCCTCGCGTCTGCTCCAACCCATTGCCTCCGGGAGCGCAAACTGCAAAGCGGTCCGCTGAGCTGTTTTCCAGGCAGGAGATGACTCGCTTTGCTAGCTCAGGAGCTGCTAGGCTCGCACCGGAGGATCAGAATGTCCTGGTCGATCGGCCGCTGAGCTACATTTTTGCAACCTTGTGCAACTGACAGCCGGCCGGGCGCGCGGGGAGGGAGGCGAGCTCGCCGGGCGCCTGGGCCGCGGCTCGGGGACGCAGCGTGGGCGAAGCGAGGGGGACAATCGCGCCGAAGAGGGGTACTCACCATCCGGCCGGCGGGGTGGTGCAGCTGGTGTGCGGGTTGCAGGCAAACGTGGGCCTTTCTGCTGTGTGCGGCCACCGCGGCGGGCTGACTTAAGAAGCCGTTCTGGGCTGTGTCCAGCACGATCCAGGCACGGGGTCCTCATTTTTTAAAAAGCCAGCGAGAGAGACGACAGAGACAGAGAAAGGAAAAGAGAGGAGGGGGTGAGAGGGACGCACAGAAACCCAGTTCAGGGGGGAGGGAGAAAAAGAAATCATCACCTCGCCGCCAGTGACACGGGAGACGCAAGAGGTGGCGAGATGAGGGTCCGGTCCAACCCAGCCAGAGCCAATTAATTTGCAATCCCGGGCAATGATTCCGCTGAAAATGCCCAGAAGTTTCATCCCCCTGCGCCTCCGCGAGCCTCAAGTCGTTCCCCTTTAAGAACCCCTTTTCTCTTAAAGTTGGATTTTAGGCAGCGAGGACTCTTACACTAGGGGGCAGACAGATACTGCACTTGCTCCAATCTCCAGCAATTTTTTCCCCTCCCGGCATATGCTCCGATCGAGCACTGTAAATTTTTCAGGGAGACCCAACTCTGACAGCCCCTGGTGATTTTCAAAGTACCACAAGCCAGCGGTTAAAAATTGCATTGACTTGGAAGTTGAGAGGCGCACAATGGAGGCCCTTTCTCCTATTCAGGGAGCTGCCGTGGGGTGGAAGGGAAAAACACACAGGAGGAGATTGAAGGGAAGGAGCAATTCAATGCATCGTGGTGGACAGGGCTGGCTTCTGCCGAGTTCAGAGTTAAACTCGGCGTTTGCTGGGGTCTGTATGCATCTGGTGACCGAATCTGCGGTCAGGCCGCTTTCTGTAATGGAATCATATTCCTGGGTTGGGGTTCCCGTTGCTTGGCTTGGGATCCCCAGAGGAAGACAAATGTTTTCCCAACTTTCTCCCGGCCAAATGAAAGCTTGCCATTCCTCTCATTAAAATAAATTTACATCTGCAATAAAAGACTGGGCTGGCTTTATTTTATTTTTTTCCAACGGTCACAATATATTGATGTTTAGCGGTTAGTCTTAGAGCTGTTGTATTTCAGAGAAATGAGCATCTCTAAGTAAGACATTTTTAATTATTTCTCTTTTTCTCTTCTTCTCGGACTGCAGTCCTTTCATACGGTAAAATTAACTGCAATTAATACTTTTTTTTTGCTTTTTAATAGCATCTGCATAACTATGAATGGGTCCCAAAATACAAAGTAAAAACACTTCTGACTTCCTGGTAGCCCTGAGGTCCTCAGCCTGGCAGGCTCCAGTTCTGCTGGGGACGGTGGGGAAATCTTCATTTTAAATCTGAGGCCATCAAACTGGACTTCAAACACCCAGTTTCTCTAACTGGACTGGGGAAGCCCGTCCCCCTCGAATTCCCCCCTGCATGTGTGGAAAAGGTGGCTCTTGCTGTGGAAGTGTCTGTACAAGAGGCGAGATTAAGATTCCCCCATCATCAATGATTCTATCATCTATTAAACCGAGATGGGAATGCCCATCAGATGTCCTAGTCAACCCCAGTCCCACCACAACTCTACTGAGTTTACCCCAGATCCACTGACATTTGCAGCATTGGGCAATTTCTCGAATCCTAGAGGTTGAAAGGGGGGAAATATTTCCCTGGAATAATTCCTCTCCCATGCTGCTGGTCCCCCTCAGGAGAAAGTTACATTGTGCCTGTCATCAACCTGAAATTCGCAGCCTGCCTTGGCTCTGTGGCAATCTCATTACACACCAGGTTTAGGAGAGCTCCCTGTCCACTGTAGGTTTGTGTTTGGTTTGTTTTTTTACAACTTTCAAGTCATCCCAGCACCTGCATCAAACAGCGAGAATTGCCCCCCACCTTCCAGAACATTCACTGTTTCGTGAACTGTGTGATTTCAGCCGGGAAAGGGTGAGAGCTAAGAGGTTTCAGAAATGAAGCGGAAAGAGGATATTTTTTTTTCTTCCCTTAAAACTAGCCCCTATCTGCCTCCATCTCCACTCAGTCCCTACCCTGTATTCTGCCTGTGTGTGCAAAGGGTATGGAATGCAAAATGCAATCTACACATGTCAGTTTCATGTGTGGCGACTTCTTCTAAACAATTCTTCATCTTTTTAATTTTTTTTAATGATCAAGGATGCTTTCTGGCGGTCGTCCCTTACTATTTCTGTGTGTCCACGTTTCCGGCAGCTCGGCGAGTTTCGTGTGAAATATTCTAATCGTTCATAAACCTGGTGGGCTGACCCATGTACAGCTTTTTTCCTGGTGCAAAGTGTGTATGACGGAGTCACCATTTTCTTTCATTAATATGAAGTAACCATAATCCACTAACTTTTTCTAATCACACAGAGAGGTGCGTTGGAATAGTGTGTGTTCTGGGAGGTGGGGGGCAATTCTAGATGTTTGATGTTTAAAACCCAACGCCCTGGAATTTAGAGACACAGCCCTGTGGATGATTTTAGCCCATGGAACAGAATGGCAGAGACTATGACGGTGGCCTTATTGCAGTTGATTTCTCGGGATAGAGTATGGCTGGTGTGTGGTTCTTGAGTTGTACTGGTCTTGTCCCCAATATGGGGCAGAGTCTCTGGGTGTGTTTTAATGGCTATATGAATGCTTTTAAGGAAACTTAAGGAACAATGAAATCCGCACTTCACTGTTCCACGACCTAGAAGTGCAAGTGGCTGAAGTCTTTGTCTGTGTACATTGACAAATGTGCATCTCATACATGTACACTTACATGTGTGTGCAGAGGGCACACACGGGAGGCTGGAGGCCGCCTCTGCTTGCCCAGCAGCGGGCAAACATGGGTCTTTTCCCCTCTCGCCCTGACTGGGTGTGGGGCAGGATGTTGGCTTGCGAGTTCGTCAGAACTAAGGAGAGCGGATAAAGTTGAGGGAAATTTATTTTAATTGCGTCATGACAATGAGATGAAGTCTATTTCTGCTTCTCCGCATCCGAGATGCTTTATTTGAGCAATTAAAATGTCAGGCCACATACCTGTGAAATGTTAACCCTACAAGGAAAAGACAGGCTCTAAAGAGCTTTTTTCCCCTCTTTAAAAAAAAAAAAAAGCCACCAAACCAAGCAAGTGATCGGAGTTGATTAAGAGAGGGGTCCACCGCCACCCGGATTTGGCCAAATCTTTCGTTTGGAAATTGCCCGCGAGCTGGGTACGCGGCGCCTGCCCACCCCCACCCACTACCCCTCTGCGAAGAATCGGGGGACTTTTCTCTCTCTCTCGGGCATCGCGGGCGCACAGATGCGCCGGGAGTCCCGGGTGGTGCGCGCGCGGCGCCTTTCGTGGCCTCGCCAAGTTGCCAAGAGGCGAAGTCCTCGATCCCATCCCCAGCCGCTCGCGGAGCCTTTAAGAGGCGTTTTGTCTGCGCGCCGCGCTCCTCTCCGCGCCGGGGCG